AGTAAATTAACTAGCACTTGCATGCAAGTTCGTGCACATAAAAAGGGTTTTAATGGGGAAATAATGTCTGGTATGTCCTAGGGTGAGATGTGGTTGTCCTTGGTGATAGATGCAGGTTTTATACCATCCTGTTCTGCTTTCTGCAACTGGACTGTCACTCTGTTCTGCTGACTGCTGCGGAACTCTGATTCAGTGCATTTCTGTGATGTGATCTTTATCCTGGTCCTTCTCAGAAATGCTAGCAATGCATGAAGGAATTCAATCCTAAAGCCCTTACAGTCTGTTTAGATCTGCAGATTGCATAATATTAGTCTTTGCTGTCTTCTCTGATAATGTAGAATTTCTCGAGCTGTGTTTCATCACATACATGTTTTGTTCTGTATACATAGCAGTAGTCAGAAAAATAATGAAGGAAAACATGTTTTGTACTAGAAAGTCATTTATTGCATACTGTGGCAAAAATGGTGCATGCATCTCTGTGAACATGCTGTACTGGTGATGAACCTTCATTTCATTAAGTGGAACGCACCATATGCTGCAAAATACCGCTGTTCTCCTTGTGTTTTTTCATACTCCTCTTACATTCTGTTTGTTCTGGTACTAGATAATGGTGAGAAAAGTACTGAGTTGGTTAACTCAGTACTGGACTGCTGACTCCCCTCTGTGGTTAAACAAGGAACAAGAAATCTAGCTAGCATCTCATGATCACTGTGCCCCAGATGGCCTCCAACCTTTATATCTCCCACAAGACCTTATCTGTTAACAAACAGTAGGTCCAGGATTTTGCTTTCCCTTGTCAGCAGCTGTGTCAGGAAGTTATCTCCCACATACTCTAGGAACCTCTGGGACTGTTCCCTGTCTGCTGTATTATAAATCCAGCAGATGTCTGGGAAGTTGAAGTCCCCCATAAAGAACAAGGGGGAGAGAACTTGGGACCTCACCCAACTCTCTATAAAGTGTCTTTTCCACCTCTTCATCCTGGTTGGGTGGCCTGTAGCAGACTCCCACAGTAATATCAGTCTTAGTGGCCTTTGCTTTTATTCTGACTCATAAGCTCTCAACCCTATCATCGCCATCATTAATTTCCATACATTCACATTGTTTCTTAACATAGAAGGCTACACCACTGCCTTTCCTGCCTTGCCTATCTTTTGAAAAGTCGGTAGCCGACAATCACAGCACTCCAACTGCGAGAGTCATTTCACCACATTTCCGTGATGGCTACTCTATCAATAGCTTTCCAACTGCACAATGGCCTCCAGCTCCTTCTGTTTATTACATGCGCATGCATTAGTGTAAAGGCACCTGAGCTGGGCCTCCTTTTGAGTGGCAGTAGCCCTAATGTCCTCATGACCATACTCAGGTCTTTCCACAGCCAGCCTCACATCAACCCTCAAGTTCTTCCTACAAAAGGATGAGTCATCCTCCTCCTTCACCAAGACACAAGACAGTGGGATCTTACTGGCATCTTACTGGTGCATCCCTCTCCTACGAGCACTGGACCTTACATACAAGCTCCGTTCTAGTGATCCCAGTTACACCCCCACCCCCATTTGTACCTAGGCCTGGTCTTGTGCAAACAGAGCAGAGGTCAAAAAACCCAAATCGCTCAGGCACACCAGGCTCAGAGCCAGGTATTAATCCATTGGCCCATCATATTTAGTTCCTCATCATTCCCTATAACTGGAGGGATAGAGGAGAACACAACTTGTGTTCCCAAAACCTTTGCCTATTGCCCCAAGGCTCTGAAGTCCTTTTTCATAGTCTTTAGGAAAGTTCTTTCTATATCATCGCTGCCTACCTGAAACAACAATGGGGGATAGTAATCCGAGGGCTGAACTAGGGAAGGAAGTTTCTTCCTTATGTCCTTACCCGGGCTTCCAGGAGACAGCAGACCTCTCTGTGTAGAGGATCTGGTCTACACATTGGCCCTTCTGCTTCCTTCAGGAGTGAATCACCAATGATAATGACCTGTCGTTTTTTTCTTTGCTGATGAGGTTTTAATGCTAAGTGAGGTCTGGTTAGACTTTGGTAACACCACCACCTGGGGAGAACCATTCTCACCACCAAATAATTACACTTCCATTTTTTTTCTTTGAAATGAAATGAATTGTTTTGTAATATTTGTAACTTTGCATTTGTAAGGAAAAATGTGAGGGCTGGGCTGGAGGCCGGCTGAAAATCTGGTCTTGCATATTCTGCAAAAAAGTATTACTCAAATTTCTCACAGGTGAATAAACTGCATGCGTGGGTGAATCTGGTTAATTCCATAGTTTAATAAACCTAGAATCCCAATGAGGCTATAACAAATCCCCCTGGTGTCTTGGAGTTATGAGAAAGATGTATAAAATTATATGCAAGCAGAAGAGTTCTTTCTAAATATGAAGAGTTTTTTTGCACATTATGTTTTTTTGTTCTATTTGCAACATGAAATAACTTGTTGTCTGTGGTTACCATGATTAAGTAGTAGATCGTTTATTCTGTGAGGGCAATATCAGGCGACAACATGTGTCCAGCTACTTTTTCCTTCTTTAAATAATTTGTTTTTGAAACAGCTTTGTAGCGCTAAGAGAGATGTGTCTGTCTTAACCATTTTTCATAAAGGGATGTTATATATGCAAGTGGAAATTTCTGCTGCTTCCTCATCAGGGAGCAGTGCCTTGTCTTAAGTTGTGCCATTTTCATAAGTCAAGAATGTGGATCACAAATCAGAACTCATTCTATAGTTAGAAACACAACAATTACATGTTGTCTAGGATTTATGCATTTCTCAAAACAACTGAAAGCAATTTAACTGCCTAAGTTTTCTGTACAACTCAATGATGTGGAGTTCTTGGATAGTAAACCTTCCAGGATAGAAATATCAAAATGGGAAAGGATAATTCCACACTGGGCTCCTTTTGCTGTGTCTTGATACAGAACCAAAATCCCAGGTTAGCAATTTTATTTTATTTTATTTATTTTATTTTATTTTATTTATTTATTTTGTGGTATTATGTATATGTTTGCTATTTTACAGGCATTCACAGGGACAAGATAGCTCTTCCAAGAAAT